AGCCGGGTAATCGTTCATCACGGTAAACGCGCGGACTGCTCCATTCACTCGTTCGCGTACACGTGTAAGGGAGCCTGAAATGCGCCCGAGTCGTGGGATCAGTAACTGTAAGGCACCCTAAGGCAATAGCGCAGCAAGCTAAGAAATGTGCACATGTCATGTGACCATGGGACATGCGATAAGAAACCGTAAGCCACCCTATGGTAGTAGTGTTGCACGCCGAGTAGTGTTTTAAAGCAAAGTAGGAATAAAATAATAACCTAGAATAACCATCTACTTTCAAAATTTAAGTAGGCTTACTTTTCCAGACTTTCCTAATTTTCCAGCCCTCCCAATTTTCGCGTGAAAATTGGGAGGGCTTGAAAATTTGGAAAGTCTGGAAAAGTAAGCCTACTTAAATTTTGAAAGTAGATTGTTATTCTAGGTTAGGAAAAATTCCGACCCCTGGAGACAATCTCACCGACTTTTGTTTGCTAATGCGGGTAAAACACGGCGTTCCATTGGGATTTTATCTCCTCTTATGAAAAATTATTTTTTCTTTAAATATTGAGCTCAGTGCTCGTGCTGAGAGAAAATACTGTCTACTTCTATCCTCAGAAAAAGTGTTATCCGAAACGGCCGGTTTTTACTCAGAGGTGAATATATTTTAACCTCTGCGACTTTAACGATAAAGCCACAAGAGTAAAGGAACTGTAAGGCGACTTCCAGGGAGTGTTTAGTTTTCGGAACCTTTTGAAAAAGAAGGTTGAATCTCCTTTTATGCCGGTAACAGGTCTCAATAAACAACATATTGATGAGGGGTTCAAGTTTCTCTAATTTCTGAGAAGTGAGTGACGATACTTTTCCAGTAAAGATGGCACTGAGGAACGTAAACAGACGCCTATATAGAGAACGAAACCCATTAGAATTGTCTAAAGCGTTAAGGTCAGGTTTATTCATGCTTAAGACGGGTTGATCATGAGGATATTTTATGCTAATGCTGAGAGAAAATAGTGTCTACTTCTACCTCCGAAAAAACGTTTTACCGGAATCGACGTGTTCTTACTACAAGAAGACAAGCTATTAGCTTCTGTGGCTTTAAGGTTAAAGCTGCAATAGAAAAGGAACTGAAATGCGGTATCTGAAAGATGTTTCCTTTTAGGGACGTGATTCATAAGAAAGTTTTAAATTCTTTTATTACGGTCACAGGTCTCAGTAGAGCCCACGGCCTGGAGAGAAAAGCCCTCACAGCTCTGGGAGGGGGCTGGCTCCTATAAACG